CTTCGGTAATTGCACAAAAGGGATTCGGCACCGGCTCGCGATACGGCCCTACACCTCCCATCCACTCCGACCTGCTTACTGGCAGCCTAAAACGGCATTCTTATTCAATTACGGGAATATGCGATAAAACGGTACGGGGCGCGATAGATTCGAGCGGGTGCGAATCTGCGCCCGTCGGAAAATTACATTAAAAACTCGACGCGCTTTCCGCGGCTCGGAAACGGCACTTCGATAAAGGCGAAAGTTCTCCCAAAACACTCGGGAGGCATGCACGGAAATAAAGACCTCACAATTACATTCGGCCGGTTAGACACGTAATGGCGGCGATCGCGGTGTGGTATCGGCTCACGGTTATACGGGAATGATAGCGGTCAAAGAGGCCCCCTGGGCAGGCTCGTGCTCGCCGATAAGATGTCCGCTAAGGCCGGGACACTCCTGGCTCCGCAGCTTCGCCTAGGCGTGGCGGGACGGCGCCCTTCAGGAGATGCGGTACGGTGCCTTTCGGGAGATGCGGTAAGGTGCCTTTCGGGTGCTGCGGTACGGCGCCTAGCGGGACGGAAAGAGCTGACGGGAGTGTGTCCTCGCTGACGATCCCTCTGGCAATGCCGGATGCGCCGGAAGATCCTATATTCCGGCTCCGGTGTCCTCCTGGCGGGCCTAGCGGAACCTCTTACCGGGCGGCGACCTGCCATCTCGCCTAGTTTAAATTAGGTCACTAGGCCGCCTAATTAGGGCGGCCGCCGACTGATGGCAGCAGGACCTTCGAATTCGGGGCCCCGCGCGCTATCCGCGAGCTTGTAAAGAGGATCTCTACGCGCGCGCTATGCGACCGGCACTGGCGCGACGTAGAATCTATCGCAAAATTTAAATCCTTATAAGAAAACAATAATGCTTATTCTACTGATTGCCAAAGCGACTCCTCCCCGCTCCGGTCTTAAAAGTCCTTGTGACGAGCAAATATTTTTGCTACGTCACAATATATATTTTAATGGTATGCAGTTTTGACCCGTGGTTATGCACCAAAAAACTGTATCCTTCGAGGGTTCGAGCCTCACGACTCCTGAGACCGAATTTAATTAAATTTCAAAAATAGGAAAGAAAAGAGACTGGCGAGAGCGCGGAGAGCGTTTCACGAGCGATCAGCTGAGCGTGTCAATATTTCGGATTTTGGGAGGCCTGTCCGCGAGAACCGGTTTGAGCGAGTTTTTCTAACGCTAAGAGCTCCGTCGCCGTCCAGTCTAGAGTAGAATTTGGCGATTAAATCTTCTTGGAAAATGCTCGAATTTCCGATCCCTTTAATTTAAGTCGGTGCAACCCTAATTGGATTAACGGAGTTTTCCCTGACTCACGTGTTCAGATACGGAAAGGAAAGGAAATGATCCGCAGTGAGAACGACTTATCCCATTATCGGTGCGTTCTATTCGTGCATCATCAAATCGACATGGAATATGGAAACACGGGACATAAAGGTTATTCGGATCGGGTGATTTGGGGTAGGATTCAAATCGGAATTAACAACCGTCACAGCGTCTCTCCGCGCTCCCCTTCCCCACGTGTCGAGTTCTTACTGACGCGTTTGAGTTTTAAACTTTGCCGTTAGGAGGATGAAAATACAATGTTGTTAACAAACAACTGGTATGAGAAATTGTAACCTAATTTGGATGGCTGATCAGCCTAATTGAACAATGTACTAACCATTGGTTGCGCGGACTAAATCGACCATGGATCTATGTGTCATCCGGAGTTCATTCCTCCGGGTTTTAGTGTCACTTAAATTATGTTATCCAGTCTCGGATATTGGCTGGGTTAAGATTTTGAGGATTAGGAATTCTGCTGTTAATCGCAACGTGCGATTTGGAAGATACAAATGTAGGATTTTAATAGACAGGACTTTAAGAAAATGGGATGTGGGTGTGGTCGCTATGCCAGGCCCACTGGAACACAGAAGCTGAAAATAATCAAATCAAACGCATTCGTTCTTATTGAGAGTTTGGTCCGTACTCGAACCGTGAACGGCAATGCTCGGTCGTCGATTTTTGGATGGAATTCTAAAAAACGACTTCCCGTCCAGAGAACTGTCCGGCTCGGGTCGTGGGCGGCTATGCTCGGTCGCCGAGGAACGAACAGTTTCTGAACGAGGTGATTTTGCAGTTCTCCGAATACTTCTAACCAGAATCGGTTTTAAGCGCGATCGCGTGCGATCGATCAAGTCCCACAATTTAGGAGCTTGTACTTTCCCGATGCGAACGATCTCGGAGTCCTGATCTAAGAGAGCGCTCCGTCCTCGGTGCTTCGCGCTAGCGGTCCACGACCCCCTCTCCCTGGGTCTCCCTACTTACTGCAAATATTACTGCGCACACTCGGATGGCGCCGAATTAATGGTCCTAACGTACAGTAGCACATGTTAACCCCTTGACCCGTTACAACTGTCCCCCTGAAGGATTTTAAAGTTTCTCATAGGAAACTTTAACTTCCTTCGTCTCCCGACTTGCGGGGTTTCTTTCACAAAATCAACATTCAACGCATTTGTTCCGGTTATCTCGCTTTTATTCCTGCTCTATGTAGAGCACGGATTTTTGTGTCGCCCGTGGGGGTGGTAACACCCGTGTAAGCGGGTGCACCCGTACGTTCGGGTCCGTCGCGGTTGTGGCCGTGGGATGTCTTCCTGTCTTCTTCGCGGAGCCCGTCCTCCATTCGCCGATATTTAAAAATTTTCCTCGACGGATCTCTAATATCCTCGTCCTGTCCCTTGGGATGTACGGCACTAATTCCCTTCTGACTCGGCGCTCCACAGCATGGCTCGGCCTTTCGACGGTACTGGAGCGAATCGCGTCCTGTAATCTTTTCTTCTCCATTGGTCGAAAATACTGCTCCGCTGTTTGCGATTGCTTGTCTCTGAACTGAAATTACCGTTTTCCTTGTTTTATTTTTGGCTCTTGGTGTTGCTTTCTATTTTTTCATGTCATACTATGTTAGTCTTGCACTTTCGCGGCCCGTCTTTTTACCTTTTTATCTCGCGGTGGGTTATCCCGTTTCTTTTTGGGCCCTACTCCCACGTAGGGTCGGGCCTTGACGTCTCGCCCTGCCGGCATTTCCTCGGTTTGCGTGTTCGCGTCCATGGTTGGTTCTGAACTGTTCACTCCCGCTTAGCTCGATTTTAAATATTTCGCGACGTCTCGAAATTGTCCTTGTCTCTCTCATTACTGGGCAGTGTCATTTGTATTTACGCGATTCTTATGTTTATATTTCAAATTTCGCGAGTTCTCGCGCGGCCGATTCTCTATTCGATTTACTTCGCGGTTCGTGATCTTATTCTTAACTTTGTAATTTTAATTTTGTCTTATGGTGTTTAATGAGTTCTACGTGATGTTCTATTACTTTTACTTTATTTGATGTTCTATTTAATTATTCATTTATTTTATCAGATTTCACAATTATTTTATAGATATTATATTTTTGTGATTTTGTTTTAGTTTATGATTTTTTTTTTCCTTTCAGAATTATTCTGTATGCCGTGACTTAATTTAAACTTATCTTACATTACGCGCCATTTGACCCCATTCTAGATTACACGATAATAATTTTATCCCGTTCCGACTTATGCGATCCGAGTTTAATTTTAGTTACTTTATGCGACTTACCTTAACTTATGTTCAATTCCGCATTCCACTATTGCGCCCATCCTAATTTCCTACTCACCGTTTTTATTGCGGCCACTCTAAGTCGACCCCGACTGGGCCTAGGCCCTCCCGGAGGAGACCGTCCTGGACGAGTGTCGCCTTTACGCTGACCCCGTTCTCTCCCCAGAACTCTCCCCAAACGGTGTGCCGCTAGATGTTCCACTCGACACCCCTGATCCGCCATGTTTTACCGTTGAAGATTTTGTTGATCTCATCCAAGTCGCTCTCCTCCCACGATCTTCCGTTGGGCTCGATGTCCGCCAACCCCGCCGCGATCGCCTGTCGCGGCGTTCATATCGCCGCCCTCGGAAGCTGCCTGATCTGGTCTCTTTTTACCCTTACTTTTTCCCTATAGTCAACTAATCGTGCTTGCAGTAGAGTTCCCGGTATGATTTCTGCCCGTCTCCAGCCTTTTTCCATCCTGACCGCGATCCATTGCCCTGGCATAGGGTCCTGACTAATCGGATATCTCGACTCGAAGGCATCGAGCTCTCTGGTGATCCATTGCTACATCCTATTTAGCTGACCCTGTCGTGCCTCTAATTGTATCCAGAAGCCATGGGGGTTTCGGAAATGGACCACCCGGACCAGCGCGTTCTGAATTCCTTCAACGTCGATTCGCGGGACTCGAACGGGTCCACGATTACTCATTTTTCTTGTTTTTGCTACAACATGGTATTATCACAAAACTTCTTTCGTCTGATCTTATTTGTTGTTATTGTAATATTATTCCTATTCTGCTAATTCTCCCCTCGCTTTATTTCACTCGTTTGTTCTTTTACCCGAATCTCTGGTCTACGCTTGATAGCTGCCTCTCCTTTCTTGTCTTCCTTGTATGGTTACGTGGTTGTTCACTCGGTGGTTGTTCACGAACTGCCAATTATCTGTTTCGAGTTTCGTATCAGAGGTTGTTTTATCCCTACCTTTCGACCCTATGGTTGTCGTTGTTTTTCGTGTTTTTCAGTTAGTGTCGCGCAATGTTGTTCGTTTTTCTGTTTAATTTGAATTTAATTTCCGAATCTGCTGACGTGTTACCGGCCGTTGAATATCGGTTGGAGTGTCGATTTGTTGTTGATTAGTGTCCGGAACGTTAGGGTTGCCGGTGCTTAAAGCGTTTGAATTATTTGATATATTTATCGGTTCGTGATATCGTTTCAAGTTCACGCTGTGGAACATTCTTCGTTCCTTCCGAGTTTCTGGATTTATGAGAATAAATGTTGCAGGACCGATCGATTTTTTAATTTCATACGGGCCCTCGTATATTGATAGAAATTTAGCAACTAATTTATTTGTCGGATTTGAGACGTTGCATGCTTTTACCAGTACTTTATCTCCGACTGTGAAGTTCGTAAGTTTGTGCGTTTGATTAAACTTCTCCGCCCGTTTTTTTCCTTTTACTTCGAGTGTTTCGCGGACCAATTTTAATTTAGTTTCATACGTCGGTTCCGCGGTGTTATCTTCATGTTTTAACCATTTTTTCCAAAATCTACTCGGTTTCTTGTTTAAATGTATTTCTATCGGTGTGAATTCCGTTGTTTCGTGATGAACTTCGTTTATGCAATCTTGAATGACTTGTAGCCAATTGATCCATGTTTGATGTTTTTCCCAAATTAATGTTCGGAAAAATCTTCCCAACTCTCGATTAACCCTTTCGACGATATTTTCTTGGGGATGTCTCATCGATGAGAATACAGGTTGTATCCCCTCCCTTTGCAATTTCTTCAGCCATTGTTTCGACGTGAATTGTGTCCCGTGGTCGAATTGGAGTCTTTTTGGCTTTCCATCATTTGGTATGTAATGCGCGAAAATGCATTTGATCGTCGCAGCTGCGTTTGCTTCTCTTAAGGGATACAGGGCCACGAATTTACTAAATGCATCGATGGATACCAAAATGTGCTTGTATCCACCTTTTGCTGGTGGAAGTGGTCTGAAGTAATCGATTGAGACGAGTTCAAGTGGTTTTTCAGGAGTGATATTTTTCATTACTGCATAACAACTTTGATTACTGACTTTGCATTGCTGGCACAGGTCGTATCGCGAAGTTATGATTTTTATATGCTTTTCCATTTTCGGATGTGCAAACTCTTCTCTCAGGATCCGGAACACCTTTCGTCCCCCGACATGTCTGTAGATTTCATGACATTCTTTTGCTATTTGGTAAAGCCCGTCCTTTGTCAGGTAAATCTTCCACTAATCTGGTCGCTGTCTTTTAAATAATATGCCGTTTCGCAACCAGTACCTTTTGTTGTGATTCTGCGGTTCCTTCAGTAATGCTTGTTTTATGCATTTTATCCCTGATTCTGCGTCCTGATATTTCTTTATGTTCTTCAGGTATTCGCCAATCGAGGGTGCGGGCTCTTTTGCGAGGATATGTGCTATTACGATTTTGTCGGTCAGTGCGTTCTCCTCGTGGCCAGAAATTTGCCTACTCAGAGTGTCCGCGACCACGTTATCCTTCCCGGCGCAATGTTCGACGGTCAGGTCGTAGTCTTGGATCGACAAAATCCACCTCGCAAGCCTCGCATTTGCGAACTTGCATGTTAAAAGAAAGGTTAAGGACTTATGGTCCGTGATGACTGTGATTCGTGCTCGGAGCACATAGGATCGAAATTTCTGAAGTGCCCAGACAAATGCGAGCAACTCCTTCTCAGTTGTGAAATAGCGGAGTTCCGATCCTTTAAGAGTCCGGCTTGCAAAAGCGACGACGTGTTCTTCCCCTTCCTCGTTGACTTGTGACAGAGTCCCCCCGAGTGCATAATCACTTGCATCGGTGCGAAGGAGGTATCTTTTTTTTCGGATACGGATGATGTAAAACCACGGCTTCTTGAAATAGTTGCTCCACTCGTTCGAATGCCTCGTTGTGAATCTTCTCACATTTCCACTTGGTTCCCTTTTTCAACAGCTCCAGGAGAGAGGTCGTCTCGTGAGCGTGTCGACTCGTGAATTTAGTGTAAAAATTCACTAATCCTAAAAATCCTCTTAATTGTTTTAGATTTTTCGGCTTTGGAAAATCTTGAATAGCTTGCAGTTTTTCCTTTTGCGGCTGTATTCCCTCGGTTGTTAGTACATGGCCGAGGAAGTTGACCTCTTCCTTAAAAAAATGACATTATTTAAAGTTCATTGTCATTCCATAATGGACCATGCGTTTGAATAATTCTTGTAAGTGGTGCATATGCTCTTGGAATTTTTTCGAGAGGCATAAAAGATCCTTGACGAAATTTACAATGTGGTCCCCCAAACCGTGGAGTACTATTTCTAGTCCTCTGATTAAGCTAGCACTACTAGTTTTTAAGCCAAATGGTATCACGACAAATTCGTAACAATTTCCTTTATGTAGGAACGCGGTGTATTTTCGCGAGTCTGGATTCAAAGGTATCTGCCAGAAACTGCTGGTCCGATCGAAGCTTGAGACAACCTTCATGCAAGTGCACTTTTGAAAAATTTCCTCCGTTGTCTGCATGCATTCATGATCTGCGATGAGGTACTCGTTTAGTTTTCTTGCGTCTAAGCAGAGTCGTACCGACCCGTCCTTTTTTATTACAATCACCATCGGATTGATATACGGACTGTTCGACAGTTGAATTATATTTAAATCGAGCATCCGCTGAATTTCTAGATCGACGCTTACTCGATGTGCCATTGGAACTGGATAGATTTTTTGTTGAAATGGCACGTGTTTTATTAGTTCTAACCAGTGCTGATAAACTTGAATTCGTCCCGGTCTTTTGTCGAAGACCGCTCGGAATCTATGTACGAGATCAAAAAACTTTTTCTTTTTGTTATCATTGAGTTCATTGCACTCATCGACCTTTGCTTTTATCTCTTCGGGCTAATCCATGGATCTTCGGCTTTTTGGATCAGCTGGATTGCCTGAGCTCCGGCTGCACATTGCTTGTCCGACTTCTCCGGCGTACGTCTCCTCTCTGGAATCTGTGGCTACGCCTCCCTCAGAAATTGGTGCAAGAGTGGTTTCGTTTTTTTCTGTCATTCAATGTAATGATTCGTATTCCAAAGTCTATGATCCCCTGCAACCGATCGAGGCTGTCTACCCCCAAGATGCAGTCTTTTATTAATTTTGGAACGACTAGGTATCCAACGTGGATCCTTCGTTCGGCTATCTGCGTTTCCGCGTAAATTTGTTTTGTGAGCATGACCGATTTCATTCTGGTGGCCCCAATTATTTGCGTCCTTCTAACTGGTAGGGTAGGACAATTCCCTAATTTTTCTTCATATTTTCTATAAAACTGCTCTGAGATGGATGTGACCTCGCTTCCGGTATCGATAAGAGCATGCACAAATATCCCTTCTATCCGAACTTCCATTGATAGACATTTTACTATTTCTTTCTCTTGCACTTCTTCCTGCGTTTCTTCTGATAAGTCTTCGCGCATATCGCGAGCCAAGATGTTGCAGCTTATTTCTTCGATTTCTTTTTCTTCGTGAAGTTCCATTACTGTTGGATATCGGTATTTTGTAGTGTTTTGTTGAACTCCTAAGTGTTTTTCATGTGTACGTTGCGTCGGTGGTTCGGAGTCCGTTTTTTGTATTTCTTATACCGATGCAACGCCTACTCGTTTCCCGACCGCTGCCAAGGTTGATGTTCGTTGAGTCTTTGATTGTTTCGGCCCTCTTCGTGTCTGTTGTCTGCTTGTTCTACGTTGCTTGTTGTTACGTTGTGATTATTCGTAAAACGTTTTCCGTAATTTTCATTATTTGTCCGCGCGTCCTCCCTTCGGTGATTTGAGATCGAAGCGTGCTCTTCCCGCGTGTATCTTGTCGGTCATCGCGGCGTCTCCCTCTCCTTGTATTCTCGCTGTCCCGCCACGTATTGGTCCTCTTGATATCGATATTCCTGCTTGAATTGTTGTTTATGTTTTTTAGGTCCGTACGATGCGGGTGTCACCTCTGTTTCCCACTCGTACGAATTCGCGGTGCGGTGGTCCTTGTTCCGCGTGACATTGACCGTCCCTGCTTGGTCAAAAGTCTCCAATAGTTCGAGGAATTCCGAGAGTGTCCTAATTCCTCTCGAGATGCACGCGTGGTGGATCATTTCGGTATAATGCCTCGATAGTTGTTTAATGATATCGGCATCACTGAAGTTCGCAGACAGATCGCGCGCATTCCCGAATAATTGCGTCGCGTATTCTGTTCGTGTCAATTTCCTCCGATCGTCGAACCATCCATATTCTATAAGTTTTCTTATTCTGTACTGCGCGTCTTCACTCCAGAATTTTTTTAAGAAGGTCCTCTTGAAGTCCTGCATATTGGTGACTTCGTCGCTTATGAGGTACCACCAATCGCGAGCTATGCCTTTTAAACTTTGTCCTATTATTGTTTTTGTCGCGAAGTCGTTTACGCCTATTGTATTACAGTATTGTTCTAAGTCTTTGACAAATTTAACCCGCCTATCCGTTTTAGATCCGTAGAACACCGGCGCCTCCAATTTTATCGGATATCCATGGGAAAATCCGTTTCAATTTAAGGTCTCGTTGTTAGTATTTGATTCGCGTATTCGACCTTGCGTATCCTCTATTTTTGTTATTTTCTCGCGATTTGATTTCACAACGGCCTAACCTCTATCATATTATTCCCTAAACGTTCTACTACCTCAAGGACGTGATTAAATGCCGAATGGTCGGCCTTGATCTTGTCTATAACCTCATGTAACTTCTGAATTTGAATCTCTAATTGTTGCGCGTGTAACGCTTCGACACGCTCCTGATATTTCTTATAATCGTTCGCATATTGTTCCTGGAGCTCTTTTAATCTCCCATTGCAACTGCTAATTTTTCTGTTTTGGGACTCGAGTCCCGTTTCCACATGGCCCGAGATTGTTTCTGAAGCGCTACCGCGCTGTAATAAATCTCGAAGTCGTCCTGAGCGTTCAATATTTTGCTCAGCTATTTGAATTTCTTGCTCCAGATTTTTAGTTCGAAGGGCAGTACTGGCCACGAGACCCGAGTCGACCGTTATCGCATACGTGTCGTCAATCGGCGAATCGCTAAGATCGATTTCTTTATTCGGACCGGTCGCCATTTTATCGCAGACTTATCTTTAATTGTAATTTTAATTATTTATTCGCTCGAATTTTTTTTTAGGGCTGATCGCTCCAATCTCCCACTCTACAGTCGCCGGCCCCACGTTGGGCGCCAATTGTTATGGTATGCAGTTTTGACCCTGCCTATGCACCGAGAAACTGCATCCTTCGAGGGTTCGAGCCTCACGATTCCTGAGACCAAAATAAATTAAAATTCTAATATATGAAATAGAAAGAGACTGGCGAGAGAGCGAGGAGAGCGTTTACGAACGATCAGCTGAGCGCGTCAATATTGTGGATTTTGGAAGGCCTGTCCGCGAGAACCGGTTCGAGCGAGTTTTTCTAAGGCTAAGCGCTCCGGCGCCGTCTCGTCTAAGTGAAATTTGGTGATTTAAACTTCCTGGAAAATGCTCGGATTTTCGGCACCTTTAATTTAAAGTCGATGCAGTCCTAATTGGATTAAAGGGGTTTTCCCCGACTCATGCGTTGAAATACGAAAAGGAAAAGAGAGGAAAGGAAATGATCCTCAGTGAGAACGACTTATTTCATTATCGGTGCGTTCTATTCGTTCATCATAGAATCCACATGGAATATGGGAACATAGGATGTAAAGGTTATGTGGATCGGGTGGTTTGGGGTAGAATTCGAATCGGAATTAACAACCGTCTACGCGTCCTCCGCGTACCCCTTCCCCATGTGTCGAATTCTTACCGACGTGTTTGAATTAAAATCTAGCCGTTGGTGGAATTGGGAGGCAATGTTGTTAATTAACAACGTGTATGAGAAATTAACACCTAATTCGGGTGGCTGATCAGCCTTACTTGAAAAGCAATACTAATAATTGGTTTCGCGGACTAAATCAACCACGGATCTGTTTCATCCGGAGTCAATTCCACTAGGTTTTATTGTTACTTAAACTATGTTATCCAGCCACGGATATTGGCTGGGTTAAGGCTTTGAGGATTGGGAATTCTCTCAATCGCAACGTGCGATTTTGGAATCAGTTACTTTTACCAAGTGCATGGCTTGGGTGTTATGTGCGAAAAATTAAATTAGACGAATATATACGCATGAAGTAATAATTGAACGCGTAGCAGTAATGAATCATTCTTCCTAAGCATATATAGTGTGTCACATCGAAAACTGAATACATCTAAATAATTAAGAAGCAAGGTATCAGTCTGGAGAAATCGATACCAGAGATCAGTAATCTGTAAATGTATCGAACGATGTTAAAACCATGAATCTAATTATGAAAAGATTATACCAGTATTAATATAAAGTTATGTAAGTATATAATCTAGTGTAATATCAGTACGAGCAAGACATCAGGTTGGAAAGATCGACACCGGTAATCAGGAATCTAAAGGTGTGCCGGTCCATGCAAAAAGTATGAAAGGACGGCACCACTAAAATACGAACCTAAAAGTGTCAATCGACAGAAAACTAAACTATCCCTAATCTAAGCGGTTCTGGTATTGATACTGATCTTGAACATTTGACACAGTTGTCTTGACGATTGAATGAAAGCATCTTCAACGAAATATTTAACCTAAAAATGTCATCATCAATGTCTAACCAGAAAAATTGTCATGTTATCTGAGAGTGATGTCAATAATTAAAAAATCATCCATCTTTCACGTAACTCAACAAAATGCCACCGATGTTTTTATAAACCCGTTCGTTGCATTGCAGAGGGAACGGTTCTTTATCATTGAACACGTTCTATCCCTCACAGAACGCGGCGCGTCGTCGCGTAGATGGGGGAAACCGATCATCATCGCGTGGTGCAAAAACGAAAAGATGGACCGACGCTACGCGGTGTTCCCAAGCGGTCACCCATCCAAGTACTGACCGCGCCCAACGTCGCTTAACTTCGGTGATCGGACGAGAACCGGTGGAAAGACCTGGTATGAGCGTTGTTTTTTTTTTTTTTAAAGATGTTTATTTACTAATGTCCATAACAAAGTACAATAGGAAAATATATTATATTCACAATAAACAATGAATAGCGCTTGCTGTTTGGAAGATTCAACAATTGCATTCTAAACTTAATGGTCAACTGTGTGACACTCTAAGTCATGTACTATGTCGAATTAATGATACTCCTTATGGCGAACAGTCTTTTTGTGATTTATCACGGTATTATTTATATAATACCTTGTATATATATTGCGTTTTCTTTGTGATCAGAAAATTGGACTGAAAAACTGATCATTCTTTTTAATGTAGTTTGCTTACGAGCTAGATTGCGAAGTGAATTAATGAACTAACTTACGACTAACTGTACAAGAAAGAATATTTACAGACATTTACTCATCTAGCCAAAAATATCGTTTCTTATTTAACCTACTGTTGTCTTTTCTATCTTTAATCGGAATGCTTCTATTGAAACGCCAGTGTTCATTTTGAATGTCGGTATTTAACTGTTTCGCGTATGTTATTGGTTTTTCCGAGTTTTGCCTATTGTAGTGATATAGAATCGGTACGTTGTTTCTATCTTGTATATAACCATTTTTGTCTAAATATATGAATGCCTCTGGGGGGATAAAGCCTGACTTTATGGCGTTGGCAAAAAGACAGTCCTTTGGATAATAGACGCC